GTGCTACCATTTAGGCCAACTAGGCGGTTGCTTAGGGCGCCAAGATTTGGGGGCGCCAAAAAGTGGCGCCCCCAATTTTTTTTTAACAGCGGCCGCTGTGCTGGGAGGGAGAGGGAGTCTGAGCCGCCGCCGGCAGCCCAGGAGTTCCCCAGGTCAGTGCGCCGCTGGCAGCCCAGGGGTTCCCCGGGTCACAGCTGCTGCACGAATCCCCAGGCCGGAGGGTGGGGAGCTGCCGCGGGGGGAGGGGGGTGCCTCAGGGTGGAGGGGGGGCGGGGAGCTCCCACAGGGCTGGGCGGGGGGCACAAGGTGGAAACTTCCTTGCACCAGCCCTGGGGGGACCCAGAGGCAGAGGATGACTCAGAGGTCCCCATTCACGGTAACTTTCCCGCACCACTGTGCCATCACGCGCGGGAGGGGGAGGAGGCAGGAGGGGAACGGCCGGATGGACCATTGCTGCACACAGGCGAGCCGCATAAGGGCCAGGGAAGAAACCGCAGTCTTGGAGAAGATCCTCCCTTGATTCCCTGCTCGCCCTCAGCAGCGAGACATCTTCCATAATGATCACATCCTGTGGAAAATGTGGGACAGGAATGATTATCAGGACCCCTCTACAGTGCTGGCTCTCCCCAAGAGCCACGTGCCCAATGTACAGCAGGGTCCAGGAAGAGTGATTTCCCCTGCTCCTGTGGCTACTTACCATTTTGGGGGTCTTGTGGCTCATGTGTGCTTTCCTGGGGTCAGCCAGTTAATGACAGGTGTGTGAGTACTGGCTGTGTTTTAAATCACTGAATCAGTGTTCTGTGTGTTGCAAACAATATTGTTTCTGTAAAATGTTGCGTTTAAACTTCACTGAGATGACCTTGGGAGACCAGCCTCCCTCTTTGTTATCGGCAGCTGAATGGCTGCGCAGAATTAGAAAGCAGCCAAGAAGAACTAAGGAGGATTTTCTGCGCGAGGTCATGATGCACTCCGGCCAAGAAACAGGAATTGAAAGAGTGGCAGGATAGCGAGAAGAGGGACCGAAAGGAGAATGCGGCGCGCCAAAATGAAGACACGGAGCGGCTCTTCAACATTATGGAGCGCCAAGCAGACACGCTCCAGGCGATACTAGCACTGCAAATGGTGCAGCTCCGCGCCCACCCTCCCCTGCAGCCGCTGTCTCAAAACTCTTTCCCATGCTCGCCCCAGACACCTCCAACACACTCTTATCAATCTCCTGGCTCCAGTCTTTACCCGTGACATTCCACTCCCCCCCGGTCACAGTCCAGCACTGCGGACTCCCAATACCCACTGCCATAGGTGCCGACTTCCCCTCTGCCCGGTGGGTGCTCGACTCCCCACCCCTGGCCCCGCCTCTTCCTGACCCTGCACCGCCCTCGCCCCGCCCCCATTCCACCCCTTACCCAAAGTCCCCGCCCCTGCCCAGCTCTTCTCCACCTCCTCCCCGAGCATGCCATGTCCCCGCTCCTCTCCCTCCTTCTCGGAAAGTCCTACGTGCCGCCAAACAGCTGTTAGGCGGTGGGGGGCAGGAAGCGCTGGAAGGGAGGAGGAGCGGGGACACGGCACACTTCGGGGGTGAGAAGGAGGTGAGGAGCAGGGAGCTTAGCTGTTGGTGGGTGCGGAGCACCCGCTAATTTTTCCCTGTGGGTGCTCCAGCCCCAGAGCACCCATGGAGTCGGCGCCTATGTCCACTGCACTCAACACCCATCCCCCTGCATTGTACTCCAAAGTAGAAGTTTGGATATGATCCCTGGACATACGCAAATCTTTAGCCAGCCTGGGACCCCACCTCCTCCTGGGACCTTCATTTCCCCCATCCCCCTCACTGCTGATATTTCTTGTTTGTTTGACTCTCTCCTCCAGTTGTTGTTTTTAATAAAAGAATTGTGTTGGTTTGAAAGCAATCTTTATTTTATTAATTGAAAGCAAACCGAGCCCTGAAAAGCAATAGACAATTATGTTAGTGGCTTTCAGCTTCAAATTGCTGCCTCAAGGCATCCCTGATCCTGGCATCCCTGATCCTTATGGCCCCACACTGTGCCCCTCTAATAGCCCTGGTCTCTGGCTGTTCAAACTCAGCCTCGAAAATGCTGAGCCTTGCAGTCCAGCCATGAGTGAAGCTTTCACCCTTCCCTTCACAAATATTATGGACGTATAGCACGCGGCTATAAGCATAGGAATATTGTTATACTGGAGATATCCCATTTCCTAGAACTGGAAGGGACCTTGAAAGGTCATCGAGTCCAGCCCCCTGCCTTCACTAGCAAGACCAAGTACTGATTTTGCCCCAGATCCCCAAGTGGCCCCTTCAAGGATTGAACTCACAACCCTGGGTTTAGCAGGCCAATGCTCAAACCACTGAGCTATCCCTCCCCCCCAGTCATCGGCCAGGTCCAGCTTCCCATAGAGGCAGCACCAGCGGGCCTTTAAATGGCCAAAAGCACGCTCAACAGTCATTCTGCCCTTGCTCAGACTGTTGTTGAACCGCTCCTTGCTGCTGTCAAGGTGCCCTGTGTATGGCTTCATAAGCCATGGCATTCAGGGGTAGGCGGGGTCTCCCAGGATCACAATGGGCATTTTGACTTCCCTTACGGTGATCTTCTGGTCCAGGAAGAAAATCCCTGCTTGCAGCTTCCTGAACAGGCAAGTGTTCTGAAAGATGCGTGCGACATGCACCTTTCCAGACCAGCCTGCGTTAATGTCCGTGAAATGGCCACAGTGATCCACAAGCATCTGGAGAACCACTGAGAAGTACCGCTTGCAATTAATGTACTCGGTGGCTAGGTGGTCTAGTGCCAGAATTGGAATGCGCGTGCCAACTATCGCGCCTCCGCAGTTAGGGAAGCCCATTTGTGAAAAGCCATCCACAATGTATTCACGTTGCCCAGAGTCATGGTCTTTCAGAGCAGGATGCGATTAATGGCCCTGCACACTTCCATCAACACGAGTCCAACAGTTGTCCTTCTCGCACTGAACTGGTTAGCGACCTATCGGTAGCAGTCTGGAGTAGCCGGCTTCCACAGTGCAATCGCCACGCACTTCTCCAACGGCAGGGCAGCTCTCATTCTTGTGTCCTTGCGCTGCAGGGCTGGGGCGAGCTCATCACACAGTCCCATGAATGTGGCTTTCTTCATCCAAAAGGTCTGCAGTCACTGCTCGTCATCCCAGACATGCATCATGATGTGATCCCACCACTCAGTGCTTGTTTCCTGAGCCCAAAAGCAGCATTCCACTGTGCTCAGCACCTCTGTGAATGCCACAAGCGATCTCATGTTGTAGCTACTACACGTAGAAAGATCAATGTCACACTCCTCTTGTCTTTGTAGTTTAAGGAATAACTCCACTGCCACTTATGATGTGTTAATTGGAGTGAGCAGCGTAGTGGTCAACAGTTCGGGATCCATTCCTGCAGCCTGAAAGAGGCAGGGTGTGCAGTACACAAACTGTTGAAAGATGGCGCCAAATGTGGACGGAAGCACAGGGATTGCTGGGATGCAAAGCAATGCATCACGGGGCACTGGGACAGGACCCAGGATGCCCCGCGATTCCCTCTGCCTTCCCACAAGTCTTAGCAGCAAAAGAGAAAGAGATGCTCTGTGGGATAGCTGCTCAGAGTGCTCCGCTCTGAATAGCGCTGCAAGTGCCACAAGTGTGAATACGCTATTGCACAGGCAGCTGTCAGTGTGAACACACAACAGCGTTTTTTCTTCTGCGCTCTCTGAGCGGTGCTGTAACTGCTGGTGCTGTAACTCTGTCAGTGTAGACATAGAGACTGATGTGCAGAGGTCGCAGCAGAGAGGCAGGTGGCAGCAGAAGGTGACTGACAGTCAGCCGGAGAGGCTAGCGAGGCGATGAGCAGAACGAGTGGCTTGTGAGGCAATGAGTGGCTGGCGAGGCAGCGAGGAACCACAGCTGGTGGGGCAGCCAGCAAAGAGGAACCGTGGCTGGCGGGGCGGCCAGCAGAGAGGAGCAGCGGCTGGCGGGGCGGCCAGCCAGAGCAAGAGCAAGCAAGGTGCCTTCTTCCCCAGGTGGGAGGTGAACTCACACAGATGCACCTCTGAACCCTGGGTCCCACTGACCAAGGACAATCACTGTGAGTGGGGGATGGTGAGGGAGCAGAGAGGGGCACAGAAAAGGAACCTTTGGTTGTAGAACTCAAGAGCATGAGGCGGAAGGCACTGCCCCACGCACGCTGGGGTGGGTGTCCTGCTCATTTATGATTATGAATGCCACTTATGGCATTTTCCCTAATTAATGGCAAGTGACTTCCCTTCGTTCATTAAAAGTTTCTGTTCTACGCTCAGACTGTGCTTGCGAGTGGGGAAGTATTGCCTCTCTGAGGCGCCCAGGGGTGGTGTGTAATTTTCCCTGGTTACTGGGTTGGGGCTCAAGCTGATTCTGCGTTGTATTGTTGAAAAGGAACCCCTAGGTATTGAACCCGGCCCTGATTGCTGCCGGCTCCACCTGGGCAGAAGGGTTACAATGATATCCACAAAGCAGTAAGCAGGGTCCTGAATACACCCTTCAGCACTAAGCAGGCCACTAAATAGTACAGTTGGGGGACTAAAGGGGCCCCTGCACACACCTTTTGGAGAACTAAATGGGGCCCTGAATCGTCCATTTGGGACCTTAAACAGGGCACCGAATACAACATTTGGGGCACTAAACACAACCCAGAGCTAAAAATACCTGAAGAGAATCCCCTCAAGAAAGGGTTTGAGAGGGAAAGCAATGAATATAGGCTTGAGGGTTTCTTTCAGTGGCTCTCCCTTAGGATGGGGGATTTTGCTCCCTTCTTCAAGCTGTCATGGCTTGACAGAGCTGTCTCACGCTGGAGCGCTGAAAAGCAGCACATAAAATGAAACCTGTTGCAAAACCACACACACACACACACACACACACATGCTAAAGGGTGGGTGTGGGTGCTGTGGGGAAGAAGAGGTAGAACGAGTTAGACTTGCTCCAGTCCCGCCCCCAGACTTCACTGCAGCCTCCTTTCCACCTGATTATGCCACAGATGCCTCAGCCAAGTCTGAGACGTGTTGAGCTGTCCACTCTCTTCCTCTCTCTTCAGCCACAGCTGGCTGGGAAAGGCCATTTGGGACCTGCACTGCCCCTTTGCATGGGCATCTGTGGACAGAGAAGTAACAGCGGCCCAGCAGCTGGGTGAAAGTAGCCAGGGGGATTGCAGAGGAAACATCCCCTGGAACAAAGTTGTTTGCAGAAATAAATACCAGGTAACAACTTAAACAAGTGTTGAAGGAAGGGTGCAGTGTCTCAATCAGTAGCTCCACTTCCTCTCTTCTCAGTGTGTTGCAATGCAGCAGCCAGCATGCTTCCGGTGGTGACTGAATTCTTTTTAGACAGCAGTGTTGTTTAGGCACTGCCCGGCTAAGGATGGCACCACTGCAATGGGGCCTGGCAGCTGGCTGGCCTGGCATCAAGAGATTCTGCTAGGGGCTAAGGTTGAGAGAGTGAGTGACGTTTCCTATCCTAATCTGCGGTGTGGTGTGGCTGCCTGCTGTTAAAAAGGGGCTGTGTGTCACCCAGGAGACTACTATATTGGAGAACTGTGTATGTGTGTGTGTGCATGCAAACATGTATAAAACACATGCTCAGGGGTTAAATTGTGTGTGTCTAGTCTGTGTGTTGCAGGGGGAAGGGAGGGTGCTAGAAGCAGAAGAAGTTTCCTGTTCACCCCCTGACAGGGGGGAGGGGAAGGGGGGGAATGTTTCTCCCAAACTCCCTGTTTCTTGGCTGTTGTGATGATAGTTCGGCATGCTGTTTCAATCTACTTAACCACTGTGTGTGTGTGTAGTCAGGACTCTAATCACTAGACAATGCTGTCTGACTTTCATATTATGAGGCAATACTAGCTAGTGTTTAGAGGAGGACTGGCAGACTTCATTCTGTTCTTGGCGTTGCCTCTGATTCACCATAAAAATGTGGGCAACTCACTTAACCTGTCTGTGCCCCACCTTTCCCAGCTGTAAAACAATACTACTAATACTGTTGAAAAGTTATGTGAGATACGTGGATGAGAAACTCCATGTAAGAGCAAAATACTATTATTATGGTCTGCAAGATGCTTTTTGGCACTTTCTGGATAAAGGATATTTTATAAGTGTCTGTACCAACAACACTGTAATATTGTTATTTAATTGGTTTTATTTATGAGCCAAATGTTTCTGTCATGCTAAGATCCAGATAAATATGGTCATAGTGAAATCACTATTCTGTGCCTTTCTTTGCTGATTTAGTTTTAGGATTGTGTAGCTATTTTTCTCAGTGCACCTTCTACTAATGGAAGAGACATTAACTTAGATTACAGGCTATTTGTTGTGTTAAATATAGTGGCTGACCAGCAGAGTACCCAATGAAACCAACAGCAATGCTAACACTGATGCTTGCAAAAAGGTATTTGTCTAGTCCCCTTAACATTTTGGTGCCAGAGTTGCACTCCTATATCACTGGTATGGCACTGTCCTAAAGTAAGCTTTCCTTCTGGTTGCCACAGTCTTTTGAATGGTGCAGATAGTAATTTTGAATGTTTTTGTGACTGTACAGTCAAGATATAGGAAGACACCATTTACCATCAAAATATGAGACGTTTCTCACTGCAACATCAATAGGTCCGATTTTGGCTGTTTAAACTAAAGTTCAAATAATTTCTCAGTCCAGTCGATCTGACCCCTCTGTAACTGTTCTTATCAGTATTTTTTAATCGTCAATGGGTCTTTCATCTAAAGACATACCTTCATCTTTTTGATTAGTTTAACATAGTTTTTTGTGGTTAACAATGTTATCATCTATTTCAGTAGACTGTGCGTTACTTTCACTTTAGTAACGGGGCTTGTCCCATTTGAAGTAGATTAAATTATTCTGTTCTACAATACAAGTAAACTCCAGCTATTCAGAGGTCTCAGGAGATGTCCAAAACCCTCAGATAATGGGAGGTTTGGGTTATTGGGGACTTGCCCTGTGGCCCTCAGTAGTGTAATTGCTATTTTTTAACTGCAAGCTATTTACAGGGTGTAAATTAAAGGTCTATCTTCCGAAAACAGCTTAGGATCAAAGCAAAAAACTAAGCAAATTAAAAAAAAAAATCACCCTTCCATCAATATTTCAAGAGCAAGGCATCATACATAGCAGCCCTGCCTGCAAGAGCTTACAGTCTTGGTAATGATATATGCAAATTGCCGGTAACTGAATAGGTGCTGATGTTCGTTGGTGGTGGTAATAATGGTCATTCACGAGTCTTTCATCTCTGGGTTCACTACTGACTTTAGTCACCAATGAAAGAAGTGTACTGGTCTTGGGCAGAGGCCACTCCTTTTGTGGCTCTGGGGTGGAGAATGATAGGAAACAGCAGGAGTTAATGCATCAAGAAGCACTATCTGCAGACTTTTCTTGTGGCTTATTTTCAGTTTGCAAGGTGAGCAAGCAACTTGCTGAGGCTTTTCTCTGGCTCTTCGCCCTCCCACTCTGGCCCCACTGACATTTTCTCTTACATTTTGCTGAGTGGAGGAATGGTAGCTACATGGAGAAGTGAAGAACATGCTGCTTAGCTAGTCTTCCCCTCCATGTGGTCCCAGTGTAGCTTTTTCCCTGGGACTGCACAGTGGTTGGGGACTTCTGTCCTTTTTTTAAATTTTGTTTTGATTGTAATAACAGCCTAGTTAAACCTGAATAACAGACATAACTAGGGACATCCCATTTCATAATACTGATAATAGGCTCAACTCTTAAGTCCTGTTTTCAGGAAGAATCCTCTAATAATGCTTTTCAAAGATAAGCAGAGAACGCCATGTGGCTGGCTCCAGAATCTCAAGAACGTAATGTGCCTTCCAATTTGTAGGCCTGCCAGGTGGTTGCAGTGGAGCAGGTGGTCAGACAAGGTTCTGTTGGAGACAACACAACCTCATGTGTTGGTGTGAAAAGGGGACAAGATATGGGTGTACTTCTTAAAGGCTTCAGTCAATTCCTTGCAAAGGATTGGTGTGTAGGTGTGGACAAAAAAAAAAAAAAAAAGAAGCTGGCAGGATGAATGAATGCGGAATTCTTCTTGAAGGGCCACACACCACCTTAAGAAGAAGAAGGGTGTATAAGTCACTAGGGAAGCTGACACCCTGCCCTGCCCTCAGGAGCTGCAAATGGTTTCATCCAACAGACCCAGTGCCACACTGCTTGATTTAACCAGCTATGAAGGGCAACTGGAAGGTCCCTCAGTGCATAGGTCTAGTATGAGGAAAATCTGGTTGAAACTCAGCTAGAGACGATGAGGCTGTCTCTAGACACAGCTGCCCCCTTGGAAACAGCCATTCCAGGACAAATCTGATTAATTTTATCTTCACAGAAGATAGAAAACTCATCACAGTGATTAATATTTGACTGTTTCCAGGCAACAGCAGCCAATCCTGGCCAGATTGTACATCACCCAGAACAATCCCCCTGGATGACATTTTGCAAACACTACTAATAGAGACGAAAATCTTCTTTACTTCATGACAGCCACACCAGAGGTTTTTATAAGCTCTCTTCTCCTGCTCATGCTGATTCCAATTACTCTCCCTCCATTGCTCTGTTCCCTCATTGCTTCTTCATCCAACTCTATTCCTCTCTTCCCCACCAGGTAGCCATTAACCACCACTTTTCTGATTCTTCTTCATCCACCTTCCTTTCTGGTTTTGACACCTGGCTGCCCCTGTTCCTCTACTCAAAACCGCTCTCCATCATTTTCAGTGCAGCCTCAGAGGCCACATCGCTATCTTGCCTAATCTCTCAGTCTCCCATCTCCTTGCTGTCACTGCCTTGTTTGAGATTCAGCCCCAGATCAATTCTCCCACTTGCTAAAATGGCCTCTCACTTGTCCTCTTTTTCATTAAAGACTGCTTCCTCTCTGATCTCTCAGCTGAGTTCTCTTTTTGGCCACCGGTACCTCTCTTTCACCATCACCCAACTGCCCTCTGGCGCTCCACCCAGTGCTCCTACAACCTCAGATCAATGACCACTACTTATCTGTCACTCCCACCCCTCTCTGTCCGGCTGTCTACTCCATAGACCTGGTTGTCAGTTCACTCCACTCCGCTCTTTCCACTATCAGAATTTTCTTCAGCCCAGTGTCCCACCAACCCTAACTTCCCTTCATGTGGTGTTGGGCACCTCTGGAGAAAATCCCATGTCTTCACAGAGTTTCTCCACTGTAAAATCATTCTTTCTTCCTTCATTTTTGCCATCCTCCTGGTCAGGCAACTTCACTTCTCCACCCTGACTGAATCCCACACCTGCTATGCCAGATACTTATTCAAGGCCTTTGACTCCTTCATAAGCCCATCCTCCCGCGCCCACCCCCAGGATATTGTGAACTTTTTCAAAAAGAAGATTGAGAAGATCCAATGTGACCTCTCCTCCCCTTCTATCCCACCTACCTATTTTGCTCAGGTCCATTCACAAGTTTCCTGCTAAAATAGCCTTCTGTTTCTATTTTTTTCCTCATGTCACTTCCCCCTCACTTTGAGTCTCTCCACTGGCTTCCAGTTCTCAACCACATAAAATATAAATTCTGTTTTTTCCCCCTCTTTTAAGACCCTTCAGAACTTTGTTCCTCTATATTTGTTTGCTATGGAATATTATCACATTGCCCTGACCCTGTTGCTCCACAAATTATGCCAGCTTTGATCGCTCATTTGTCTGCTTCTCCCACAAGAAACTTTACATGTTTTCATGCAATACCATATTGACCAGAGCACCCTCCTCACACAAATCCATAAGATACTCTGTCCTTCAAATCCTTCCTCCAGGCCCATTCCGACCTGGATACCGTCAGAAAACTGCCAACTGCAGGCCTACATAACACTTGTTCTTCTAACAGTTTTCTTTATCCTCCCTGCCTTGATTCTACAAATCATTTGTTACACCCAGTTGTTACATCTTGTCATCTTTAGATTGTAAAATCTGCAGGGTTACATTTGTACAGGACTGTACAATGGGACTCTGATCTTGGTTGGATCTCTGGATGCTACTGTCTGCCTAGTAATAATATGTGACAATCAGTTGGTCTCAATGCAGTGATCAGTATTCCAGCCACATGTGTTTCATTTGTTATAGGGCCTCTGTATATGCAGGCGACCTGTGAGGATGTTTAGGAGACATTATGGATAGCTAAGGACAGGCCATCATTCAAGCAGTCCACTGACTGTACAGTACTGTCCCTTAGAGACAATTAAAAATGACTCAC